AAGATAATTTGTCTATCCGGTGAAACTCAAAAGAGAGTGGAAAATTCATAGTAAGACGATCATTTATCTAAGGATTTCTATCTCTTTAACTCAAACCAAGCAAAGAACACATAATCTATGAAAGATTTGAATTAAACAATAACCCACACTAAGAATAGTAAGGATACCATTCAATATACTCGATCAGTCATCATTCAAGAAACTCAAGAAAGGTAGGAGCAAACAATGCTCAACTATGAAGGAATACTATTGATTAGTAATCTTCATAACCAACAAAGATATGCAACACATACACTATCTCAAAATGCTTATGCCAAAGCAATACTCATCCAACAAAAAGTAGGACAAACCTCACAAAGGAACTCATGAACACACACATCATGAACTCAAAAACCATAGCCAAAAGAAAGGCTCAACTCTCAAACTACTAGAAGTAGTATGAAAATAAGAAGTTTAGTTTTAAAACAATTCTATCGAGAAGCATACTTGAAAAAGAACGGTTTCTGTTAAGATCAAAAGATCCAAGACAAGATTAAAACCCTCTTGGTTAAATCATACTCTACAAATGAAAAATGGACACACTATTTAACAAAAATTCCCCACAGGAAAAACTCTCATTAGAGAAGACTCAAAATGACCACACACGGGTGCTTTAACTTTCGACCATACCCCCCCCCTCCCCCAATTTATAGGCTTGCAATTTCGGCCATAAGCACCAAAAAAGAAGACCAACTAGGACTCTCTAATCTTATCTCACGCAGGAGTAGAGTTAGAAGAGTATTTGATCTCTTTGACTCGATCTAAAATCTAGGAAACCATATCTAAGTGACTTATCCTCAAATAGGATAATACTTAGAAGGAATCTAAGACTCCTAATCAAAACACTCTAGCTTAATTCAGTCCACATGACTTATTTAACTGGACAAATTCAAAAATTAAACTCCTAGACTAGATAATACTCTAAATCCAAAATTCAGCTTCAAATATTGAAGTAAAATGTCTCTAATACCCTTCGAAAAAGTGGATTATTGGTCTTGCGCCCCTCAAGTTGTAGATAACTCCAAAACCCTAAACCCAAAACTAGAATGAAGGACTAGCTCATTCCCCTCACTAGGAGAACCACCATGGAAGGCTATGTGATGCTCATCACCCCCTCTTTGTTTAAGAGGATTCGTCCTTGAATCACCGCCTCTAAACCCGCACAAGGAACAAACGAGATATAAGTGTTAATAAAATGCTCACCCTCACCACACTCTGATTTTCTCATTGCGAGCATTTTTTTTCTGTTTCCACACTATTTTCATGGTTTTCTCTCGCCTCAAGTCTTATCTCAGCGTAACCCTTTTTACTTTCTTGCGTCACTCTCTCGACTATTTCTCTCCCTTGTGTATAGGATATTTTACGTCTTTTCTCTCGCACATTTTCAGTATCCTCATAAGCCAAAGGCTTAAGAATCTGTCTAATGTCATCCTTGGTAAAGACAAAGACATTCTTTGAGCAATGGTCCACAACATCTACATCTGATTACCAATGCCTACCTAGCAAAATATCACAAAGAGACATCGGAATTACATCAAAGTAAATTTCATCCCTATACTCACCAATTTGAAAAGATACCATGGCCTTCTTAGTGACATTTACAATCATCTCTTCACTTAACCATTGAAGCTTGTACGGTCTAGTATACGGATCCATCTTGATTCCGTTTGCTATGCAAAATTCCCCACTTATACAATCATTACTCAATCCACCATCAATTACCAAATCAACTTCATTTGACCATCCAACCGAACACTTAGTACGGAAGATACATGTCCGTTGACCACCATCTTCAGCGCCAAACACCAACCCTTGTGATAGCAATCCGTGACAAAACCAATCTTTAAAGAAAGACCAACTTTGCTAATTCGGAAAGACAGAGATTTGTAGGCAGCGAAATTTGGAGAATTCGGATTTAAAGACTCAAAAACACACGAAAATGAAGAAAAGAAAAGATATTTGACCTCACGTGGATCAATTCACAAGTTCAATGGTAGAACAACCCAAATCAAAAATGAAGAGAGCTATTTCTAACCAAGCAGAGACCCTAATTGTGTAGGAAAACCCAATAGATATGAGATCTATGAGCTCAAATACCAAGATTCAAAAGATCCAATGCTAAAGACGCCACTATCAAGTGAACTAAACAAGATAGATAAGTCTAACAATTGTCACAACACATATGCAACAACCAAACAAAGAAGTCCTCACAAGAACTCCACGAAAGGAATAAAATCCTAACCAATTTCACTCAAGAAAATATCAATGACACAAGGTGTGTTGGACAAGAGAATTTTGGTCCCTATTTATAGAGGGGGTGGCCGAAATTTCTTCCCAAGAAGTAGAGGAAGAACACAACTCTTCACCTCTATTCCTATCTCTAAGAATTTGAAATTAAATCAAACTCTAAAGACTCCTAGTTATCTTAAGTGATAAGATAACAAACCTAGACACTTTTACTAGTCTTAAAACATTTAAGACTTGTAGGAATTAATTAAAACTCAAAATACAAAGAGATAATCTCTTAGAAAGATTCCAATGGATAGAATCTCCCTTGAGTTAAAACTCTATCATCATCTTCTTTGTAGAGTGATCTTAGCCATCCATCTTGATATAGTCTTCATCCAACGGTTGAGTAGATATCAAAAGTTGACTCCTTATTGTAGGATAACTCGAAAATAAGATAAAAAGAATCATCCCAAATATTATCCTTTAAAGAGATAAAGTCTTATCTTTCAAAGAGATAAAATTTGAACGATCTCACCCCTAAACTTTAGGGAGCAATTCGACCAACGTGAGGATGTGTGGCCGGCGGTCCTTCCTTCGAATGAGGGCCGAAAATCTTCTCTCCAAATGGGCCAAACCCATTTGGTGTTACTTGCAGCAAATCAATAGTATTGGGCTTGTAATCTTCAAGCTTAATTTCCTCCTTACCCCATGTAGTAACAATTAGACTATTAAGTGATTCATTCATCCTCTTGTGTCTAGCACGAGTCATTGGTCCAACAATGTTTGATAGTGGATCACGGATGTAAGGATTATTCTTTAAAGCAGCATCTTTAGATCCCCCATTAGCATTCACGACCTCAACTTGCTCGTCCTCTCCATTGTTGGCAGCAACATGTCCCTCTCCTTTAGTGTTAGCTAGATGGTCTCCATCACCTTGATCATCAATTGGACCATTCCAACCACAAGAAGCATCATGCTCTCTCTCCACTTCTAAGGAAGCATAATACACCTCATAGAGCCTTGATTGCCTCCTTATCTTTGGGTGTTGTTTATACCCCTTGTCCAAGCCATAGTGGAATGATCAATCAACATGTAGTCGTTCTCATCCACACCCGAACTCAGGAACACGCCTTCTAACTCCTCAAAGTAAGATTGAACGGATCTACCATTCTGCTTACACTTGAGCAACTTCACTTTTGCTTCATCAAAGGTGTTATACCAACATATCTTTCTCGCAAAGCATTCCTCAAATCATGCCAATCATCCAAATTACAATACCAATGATGCGAATAGATATTTGAAACTAGGTTCCACCAATTCAAAGCACTAGAACGAAAACAACCTATATAACTAAGGCTATTTTCTCACTCTCTTTCTCAATGTTAAGCAATACAAACAAATTCTCTATGCTCTTTTCCCAAGTATCATAGTCTCTATGGCAACCATAAAATAAAGGCAATGACACTTTCAACATTCCAGCATACGAGGGTACTTGTTTTACTTCAAAACGATCACATAAGACTCTCAAATTTTCAGCAATTTTCTCAAAACTTACCGTAGTTTTATCTTGCTGATTTGAAAGCAATTGAGACAAGTCTCGGTTCGCCTCCTTCACCTCGGCCAAAGCATCATGCAAGTAGTCAATTTGACTCTTGATGAGTTGCACTTGAGCCTCCATGCGACCCTCTACACTCTTTGAAGCAACTTGAGTACAATCAGCAACTCCGGATGACATCTTTGCTCAACAACTTTGAGAAACCGCCAACAAAAGAAGTAATGTGCTTTTGTTACTATACAAAAACTCCTTGAACCCTTGAACCAATAGATGGCTCCGAAACCCCCCAAGAACCAAAGGAAGGTTCGAATAATGCTTTCCCTATAAAAAAAAACTCTCTTGTGCTTTTAAGAACACTAACTCTCAAAAATTCAGAATAAAAAGAAGAGTGCTTCTCTTTTTTTACCGTTGTGATCTCGGCAGCAAGAAGGAGAAGAAGAATGGAGTAGAGTGGTGTGAGAATTTTCGAAAAAAAACACTCCTATTTATAGGCAATGCAAGTCTTTTTGTGCAAGAAAACTCCTAGAAGATAGGACCTATATTTTCTCAAGAATATTCTCCCCTTAATTGATAAAATTCAGTCGACAAGATGGAATAAGGTATAAGAAATTCGGCCAGCTTGATAAATAAAAGAGATAGAGTCCTAAAACTTAGGTAATCGTAATCCCTTTTGGACACAACTTATGAACTATGTCATAAAACAAAAAGACTAATCAATAGTATTCCTTCATAGTTGAGCATTTTGAGATAGTGTATGTGTTGCATATCTTTGTTGGTTATGGAGATTACTAATCAATAGTATTCCTTCATAGTTGAGCATTGTTTGCTCCTACCTTTCTTGAGTCTCTTGAATGGTGATTGGTCGAGTATATTGAATGGTGTCCTTACTATTCTTAGTGTGGGTTGTTGTTTAATTTGAATCTTTCATAAATTATGTGTTCTTTGTTTGGTTTGAGTTAAGAGAGAGAATTCCTTAGATAAACGATCGTTTTACTGTGAATTTTCTGCACTCTTTTGTATTTTATGGGATAGACAACTGATATTCGTACTTTCTTGTTTGATGATTGCATTAACAAAATTTGTTTCATCTACGAGATAGCTATCAGAGGTACATCAGTCCATTTTTCATCTCTTCATGCAGAGCCCGGCGAGGATCCTTCTTTATGAATTGCTTTAGCTAGCCTGCATTGATAGTCCTGCCTTTTTCCATCCTTTCGAGAGCGGCGACTGCTACACCATGGCCACCCAATCGCTTAGCTACTTCATTGATACCAAACATAACATTGGCCATCCCACTAGTAGGCAACATCCTTGACGAGAACGCGACCAACCACTGTTGCAAATCTGTCTTGGAAACATGGGATTCCCTATATTCTCTCATCTTTGCCTCTAGCTTGATATATTTTGCTTGAAGGGAGGCCAGTTCCTTCTCTTTTGCAGCAAACTCCAGCTGCTCCTTCCATGCATCTTCCTGGATCATCTTCTCTTGCTCTATAAGCTTCTTCTCGAGTTCTACCCTGGCCAGTTTCTCTTCCACGTTCTTCTGGCGCATCAAGAAGCTGTTCATCGAGGTGCTCATCTACATAGGTCATGGAAAATGCTCCACTATGTTACACAAACAACATGTGTTGCATCAACTAAAGTACAGGTAATACTTACAAGTTTCAGAGTATTCTCCTCTGTTATTGCTGTGGCATTCTCCTTAAGTATGGAGCACTCAATCCTAGCATCCCCAAATTGATATACAGCAGCAGCAGTAGTGTAAGTTGATGATCCAGGGCAGGCAGCAGTGTCCTCGAGGGCGTCTCTCTTCTTCTCCAATGGAGGTTTTGACCCGGTAAATCGTTCCAAGTCTAACTCTGTCACCAGGTGAGTCTCGGGGGCTGGATTTTAAGGATTATCTTTATCCGTCTCGATGGCTGTCGGAATCATATCCTGTTGAGTCACTTCTTTCTTGAGAATGCTATCTTTCTCGATAGGATAGTCATGTGTACTTTTCTTCTTGGCCTCCACGTCCGACGCTTTGACCAGTTTCTTCACTTTTCTTTTCTTCTCCCCAACTTTGGTCAACGATCCTTCATCATTTGAGTTTTTACATCAAAAATCTTGGCATCACCAAACAACTCAACAGTGTTTCTTCTCGACGACATAATCTAAAACAGAAAGAGTAAAAGAGAAGTTAGTACCTTTTTTCTCCTCGACAGGGACTAGAGCAATATAGTGCTAAACATCAGTCCAATTAATAAATTTCTCATATTCTTCCATCGCATTAATGGCGGATCTGTACTTCTCGACTTTGGCCTAATCAGTCTTGATCCAGTCGTCTACTATCACATCCAGCCCGTGGGTTTCTAGGTTGGGGAACCATCGAAGAGCTCTACTATCCGTATGGCTTTCGATTTCGGGTTTTTCTTTACATTATACCAATCCCTGAATTTAGTCGAGGGAACAAAAACATTGACAAATACCTCCATAATAGTAGTCAAGGCCTCTCATCCACCAACTCACACAGTTTGACAAATCCAAGGACAGCAGATATCAACTTCGAGGTAAATCGAGCAAGGGGAATCTTATAATGTTGAACGATTGCCCCAAACAGAGGGGAAAGGGGGAATCTATGCATAGAAACATAAACTGGTCATACACCGTAATTTTTCTCTCTGGTGGTGTATTCGCCCTTTCAGTACCTAAGGGAGCTCAATATTCCAGATCTATGGGCAAATCGTATTTCTCGGTCACTGCCCTAGCTTTGTCTCATATGTTGACCGATCCATTCTCTTTGATTTCGACATTTCTTCATTTTTAATTTATGCGATGTGAACCACGTTTCATAATTTATTATGCTAAGTGTCATTATGAAGTAGATTAGACGAAAATTTGCAGGTCACATAATTTCATTTTCAAACTGAAATGATATATTGCATAGTCCACGTTGTTGGTTCAACAAACAAAAAGAAACCCAAGTCCTCAAGGTACAATGGTTTACTTTTTGTTCTAGATTCGACGAAAAAAAAAAACCAACTCGAATAGATAGCTATCTTCTCCTTTCTCATGGTATTCTTAAGTCCCAATTTTTCACGCGCGTGTTCTTTCTCTTCGGTAGTCGTATCAAGGTTATGTGGAGTTTGATGTTTCTGGTTTGGTAGCTTCTTCATTTGAACCATTTTCTCGTAGACTGTGGAGGGATTGAGATAGGTTGATCATGTTCATAGACTTTTGAGTGGATTTGGCATGTTTTTTACCTTTGCGATGGTCTTCCATCACATTTTCATGCTCGGCTCCTATCTGGCACGCCTCGTACCAAAACAAGAAATTACTCTTTTACTTTGGCTTATTAGGGGATTTCTGTAATATTTTTGGTTCAATTGACACCTTCTTTTCAACACTTTGGTCAATCTCCAGTGCGTCTCCCCCGAGCTTATCAATAATATCTGAATTCTCGTGCTTTAACTTTGTGACTAAAGCTTCCTTGGACTTGTGTTTCTTTCCTTGGAAATGTTCAGTTAAACCGAGCTCACTCGTGGTACTTACTTCACAAATGTCGCAACTCCAAACTCCAATATTCCTTCGTTTTTTTCCCCTACTACTTGCTTCCTCCTCCTCCACTGCAGGACACGATGATTTAGCTTTTCTCTTTGTTCCACCACCTGAATAATTCGCAATGGCCGGCCACTGGTTTAGCCACAAACACAATCTTCTCCTTCTATTGATGCTGGCCACCTTCCACATGAATGCCTAAAACAACTTTCTCCTTCTGTTGCTATTGAACAGCTTCCGCTCCAGCATCGGCATCTTCAATGCCCTCGACTTGAAAGGAACATCGAATCGCTGCTGATCCTGATCCACACCATATTTTGGCCGCAATAGCCTTAAACTTTCTTCCGCAAACAATAATGCAATCTTTTCCTCCAGTAGTGATAGCCCTTTATTAGCTTCTCCCAGCAAGGGATTTCCCTTAGTTGGTTCCAGCAGTATCCCTACTTTCGCTGGGCTTGTATCACCGCCTTCTCGAACTCTCGTCGAATATTCCGTCTCCATTTGAAGCTCAGCCCTGACTCCAGCCTCCAATATTCTTCTTCTTCTTCTCCGGGAAACCTCTTCCGCAATTATCTCATCCCTGATCCTCTCCTTCTCTATAGCTATCTGAATAATTTCTTCTTCCACACCGTTGTTTGAACTTCTTGGAAAATTATCATCATGTCATCCATGATATAATCGACTTGTGTTCATCACTATATCTTGGCTAAGGTAGTAGTACTCATTACCCATCCAAAACATTCTGTAACCCGTCGCGGCGGGAAATTGCTTGGACTTGTTTCCGTTACTGGTTTGTTTGGCAAAGAAACTGAAGTTTGACTGTCGCCATGGCGGAGGTGTTTGCTCCTCGGCAATGGTGCATCTCGATGCCATGCCCGTCTTTGATCAATTTTTTTTTTATTATTTAACTATTCTTTGGCTGTAGTACCTTTTTTCTCCTCGATAGGGACTAGATCTATGTAGTGCTGAACATCAGTCCAATTAATAAATTTCTCATATTCTTCCATGGCATTAATAGCAGATCTGTACTTCTTGACTTTGGCCTTATCAGTCTTGGTCCAGTCGTCTACTAGCTCGTGGGTTTCTCGATGATCCTAGGCTACAGAGAAATTTTCTGGCGCTTTTACATACAGGTAATCGATTTTCCAGGTTGGGGAACCATCGAAGAGCTCTACTATCCGTATGGCTTTCGATTTCGGGTTTTTCTTTACATTATACCAGTCCCTAAATTTAGTCAAGGGAACAAAAACCTTGAAAAAATACCTCCTTAATAGTAGTCGAGGCCTCACATCCACCAACTCACACAGTTTGACAAATCCAAGGACCGCAGATATCAACTTCAAGGTAAATCGAGCAAGGAGAATCTTATAATGTTGAACATTGCCCCAAACAAAGGGAAAAAAGGGGAATCTAAGCCCTAGAAACATAAACCGGTCATACACCTTAATTTTCCCTCTGGTGGCGTATTCGCCCTTTCAGTACCTAAGGGAGCTCAAAATTTCAGATCTATAGGCAAATCGTATTTCTCAGCCACTGCCCTAGCTTCGCCACATATGTTGACCGACCCATTCTCTTTGATTTCGACATTTCTTCATTTTTAATTTATGCGTTCTTGTGAACCATACCTTGTTTCATAATTCATTATGCTTAGTGTCATTATGAAGTAGATTAGACGAAAATTTGCAGGTCACATAATTTCATTTTCAAACTGAAATGATATATTGCGTAGTCCACGTTGTTGGTTCAACAAACAAAAAGAAATCCAAGTCCTCAAGGTACAAAGGTTTACATTGTATTCTACATTCGACGAAAAGAAAAAAACAACTAACAAGATAGCCATCTTCTCCTTTCTCATTGGTATTCTTAAGCCCCAATTTTTTGTGCGCATGTTCTTTCTCTTCGGTAGTCGTATCAAGGTTATGAGGAGTTCGATGTTTCTGGTTTGGTAGCTTCTTCATTTGAACCGTTTTCTTGTAGTCTGTGGAGGGATTGAGATAGATTGACCATGTTCATAGCCTTTTGGGTGGATTTGGCGTGCTTTTTACCTTTGGATGAGCTTCCATCACATCTTCATGCTCGGCTCCTATCTGGCGGGCCTCACACCAAAACAAGAAATTACTCTTTTACTTTGACTTATTGGGGGATTTCTGTAATATTTTTGGTTCAATTGACACGTTCTTTTCATCACTTTGGCCAATCTCCGGCGCGTCTCCCCCGAGCTCATCAATAATGTCTGAATTCTTGTGCTTTAACTTTGTGACGGATGCTTCCTTGGACTTGTGTTTCTCACTCGTGGTACTTACTTCACAAATGTTGCAACTCCAAACAAAAATATTCCTTCTTTTATTTCCCCTACTACTCGCTTCCTCCTCCTCCACTGCAGGACATGATGATTCAGCTTTTCTCTTTGTTCCACCACCTGAATGATTTGCAATGGCCGCGGCCACCGGTTTAGCCACAGACACAATCTTCTCCTTCTGTTGTTTTTTGCCACCTTCCACATGAAAGCCTAAAACAACCTTCTCCTTCCATTGCAGTTGGACAGCTTCCGCTTCACTGATAGCAATCTCGTAGATTAAGCAAATTTCATTAATATAACCATCAAACAAGAAATACAAAGATAATTTGTCGATCAGTCATCAATCAAGAGACTCAAGAAAGGTAGGAGCAAACAATGCTTAACTATGAAGGAATACTATTGATTAGTAATCTCCATGACCAACAAAGATATGTAACACAAACACTATCTCAAAATACTTATACCAAAGCAAAACTCATCTATCAAAGGTAGGACAAACACCACAAAGGAACTCATGAACACACACATCATGAACTTGAAAACCAAATCAAAGGAAAGGCTCATCAAACGAACTACCAGAAGTAGTATGAAATAAGAAGTTTAGTTTTAAAACAATTCTATCAAGAAGCATACTTGAAAAAGAACGGTTTCTGCAAGAACAAAAGATTCAAGACAAGATGAAAACCCTCTTGGTTAAATCATACTTGACAAATGAAAAATGGACACACCATTTAACAAAAATTCCTCACATGAAAAACTCTCATTAGAGAAGACTCAAAGTGACCACAAACGGGGACCTTGAACCTTAGGCCTTGCCCCCTATTTATAGAGTAGCAACCTTGGTCACATAGCACAAAAGAAGACCCACTAGCACTCTCTAATCTTATCTCTCGCAGGAGTAGAGTTAGAAGAGTATTTGATCTCTTTGACTCTATCTAAAATCTTGGAAACCTTATATAAATGACTTATCCTCAAATAGGATAATACTTAGAAGGAATCTAAGACTCCTAAACAAAACACTCTAGCTTAATTCAGCCCACATGGCTTATCTTAACTAGATAAACTCAAAAAATTAAACTCCTAGACTTAGACAACTCTAATCTCGAAATTCAGCAACAATTGTTGAAGTAAAATGTCTTAACGCCCTTCCAAAAGGTAGAATATTGATCTTGCACCCCTCAAGTTGTAGATAAATCCAATTTACTCCAAAACTTGGAGAATTCTCTTTATTGACTCCAAAAGAATGGAAAAACACTTGAAACAATTGAGATAGTTTGCACCCTATCCAATTGTGTAGCAATGGACTCAATCTTGAACACTTTGATCAAATAGGCCTTTCATTCAAGAACCTAAATGATTCTTCTCTCTAGCATGATCAATGATCTTCATAGAGCACCTAGAGTCAAACTCCCTTGATACTCTTGAACACTTATTTCTATGAGTGAATCATCTCCTTTGGTTTGAGCCCCAAAGTTAATGACATTCTCATCCATCTTGATCATAGCTCCCTTGAACCAACTCCCTATCACATAGGTAGTCAAGCTCCATCCTTTCTTCCTTGATTGGCCTGCAAAGTAAACTTGGCATCCCAAAACTAGAATGTAGGACTAGCTCATTCCCCTCACTAGGAGAACCAGCATGGAAGGCTATATGATTCTCATCATCTCTTCCTTCTTTAAGAGGATTCATCCTCGAATCATCAACCTCTAAACCTACACAAGGAACAAACGAGATATAAGGGTTAGTAAAATCCTCACCCTCACCACACTCTGATTTTCTCTCATTGCGTGCATTTTTTTTTCCTGTTTCCACGCGATTTTTATGGTTTTCTCTCGCCGCAAGTCTTGTCTCAGCGTGACCCTTTTTACTTTCTTGCGTCACTCTCTCGACTTTTTCTCTCCCTTATGTATAGGATATTTTACGTCTTTGCTCTCGCACATTTTCAACATCCTCATTAGCCAAAGGCTCAAGAATGTGTCTAATGTCATCCTTAGTAAAGACAAAGACATTCTTTGATCCGTAATGCATAGCATCTAAGTCCGTTTGCCAACCCCTACCTAGCAAATATCACACAACGTCATAGGAACTACATCAAAGTAAAGTTCGTCCCTATACTCACCAATTTCAAAGGTAACCATAGTGACATCCACCACCATGTCCTCGCTCACCCATTGTAGCGTATATGGATTAGTATGCGGATCCATTTTGATTCCATGTGCCATGCAAAACTCTTCACTAACACAATTAGTACTCGACCCACGGTCGATTACTAGATCAACGTCACCGGACCACCCAATCGAACACTTGGTACGGAAGATACATGTCCTTTGATCGCCACCATCAGTGCCAAACACCAACCCTTGGTCCCCGCCGGAACCATTCCAACCACAAGAAGCATCATGCTCTTTTTCCACCTCCAAGGCAGCGAAATATGCCTCATAAAGCCTTGATTGATGTCTTATCTTCGGGTTCTGTTTATACTCCTTCTCCAACCCATAGAAGAAACTATCTGTCAACATGTAATCATTTTCATCCACATTGGAGCTTAGGAACATGCCTTCTAGTTCCTCATAGTAAGATTCAATGGATCTACCATTCTGCTTACACTCGAGCAACTTCACTTTCGCCTCTGCAAAGGTGTTAGAACCCACATATCTTTCTCGCAAAGAAGTTCTCAATTCATGCCAATCATCACAACTACAATACCAATGATGCGAATAGATATTTAATACTAGTTTCCACCAATTCAAAGATCTAGAACGAAAACAACCTATAGCTAAGGATATTTTCTCACTCTCCTTTTCAATGTTAAGCAATACAAACAAATTCTCAATGTTTTTTTCCCAAGTATCATAATCTCTATGGCAATCATAAAATAAAGGCAATGACACTTTAACATACCAGCATATGAGGGCACTTGTTTCACTTCAAAACGGTCACATAAAACTTTCATACCTTCAGCTATAAGATTGAGATTGCTCGCAACCTTCTCTTGCTGTTTGGAAAGCAAATAGGACAATTCCCGGTTCACCTCCTTCACCTCTTTCAGCGCATCATTCAAGTACTCCAACTGACTTTTCATGTGCTGAATTTGGGACTCCACGCGACCATCTTCACTCTTGGAAGCAACCTTGTTACATCCAACAATTTCAGTACTCATCTTTGCTTAACAAAGCTTGAAAAACCACCAAAAGAATCAATTGTGCTTTTGGAACTACACAAAGAACTCCTTGTATGCTTGAACCAAGTAAATGGTTCGATCGAAACCCTCCGCCCCCCCTAAAGAACCAAAGGAAGGTTCGAATGATACTCTCCCCAAAAACAAACTCTCTTGTGCTTTTGACAGCACTTAAAGCTCTCAAAAATAATATTAAAGAGATGTGTTCCCCTCTTTTTTGACCCTAGTGATCTCCGCCACAAGAAGAAGAAGAAGAATGGAGTAGAGTGGTTGAATTTTTGAAAAACACCACCCCTATGTATAGGCAATGCAAGTCTTTTTCTGCAAGAAAACTCCTACAAGAAAGGACCTAAATTTTCTCAAGAATATTCCCCCCCCCCCTATTTGATAAAATTTCAGTCGACCAAATGGGATAAAGATGAAGAAATTTCGCCAGCTTGATAAATAAAGGAGATAGAGTCCTAAAACTTAGGTGATCATAATTCCTTTTGAACACAACTTATGAACTATGTCATAAAACAATGAAAGATTCATCCCTACTATTTAGAGATAAAATTTTCGACCCCCTAAATTCCTACTATTTAGATAGAGTCCATGAAAACAGGATTATTGAAAAACTTGATGAACCGGTTGAAAAGGCAGTGCAAGTTCAAACTCAGAGTCAGCAGCAACCCTAAATTCCTTCGCAGACTTATCAGATTCAGTATGATCAAAATCATGAACAGGCTCAGGCACATTAGGCCAAGCTCATGGGCAGTATTTTAGAGGCCGTGGACGTGGAGGTCGAGGTAATTGCAGAGGTCGTGGTAGAGGTAATGGTTTTGCACCCGATAGACAGAATATCCAGTGTTATAATTGTGAAAGAACAGGTCATATAAGAAGAGATTGTTGAATAATTATGGTGATAGTAGTGATGGGCGTGCTCAAATAATTGAGACTGGTAATGAGGATAGTAAGACAATCTTATTTTTAGCTCATATTGCAGAAGAAAGCAAAGGTTCGGATTGACATGTTGATTCGGGATGTAGCAATCACATGAGTGGGAAGAAGGAGGTTTTTTGAGAGTTGGGATGAAAATTATAAAGCCATAGTGAGATTCGGCAATAACCAGATCTTACCAGTTCTGGGCAAAGGCCGTATTCCTATTGTTTTGAAGAATGGAGAGCTTAGTTATATTGGTGATGTTTTTTACGTTCCTAATATGCCTCATAATCTACTGAGTCTTGGTCAGTTGCAAGGAAAAAAAGTATGATTTGAATTTTAGGCATGGAGTTTGTACAGTCTGCGATTCACATGGGCGGATAATTGCAGAGGTAAAAATGGTTCGTAGATTGTTTCCAATCACTTTGAATTATGCTAATGCACCTTGTTTGAGTGCTGCATCGCTTGATGATACTTCGTTATGACACATGAGGTTTGGGCACTTTCATTTTGGCGGTTTACAATTCATTGCTAGGAATAATGTGGAATCTAGAGTACCACCGTTGAATTTTTCTGCTAGACAATATGAGCCTTGCATTTTTGGAAAAAAGCATAGGGATCCTTTTCCAAAAGGAAATGTTTGGAGGGCTTGGTAACCGTTGGAACTCATACATTCAGATTTGTGGTCAGTTAAGGTTCTTTCTCGTGGAGGTAATAAGTATTTTATTACTTTTATTGATGATTTTAGCAGGAAGACTGATGGAGACCATCTAGCTAACACTAATGAAGAGGGACAAGTTGCTGCCAATAATGGAGAAGACGAGCAAGTTGAGGACGTGAATGCTAATGGAGGATCTAAAGATGCTGCTTTAAAGAATAATCCTTACATTCGTGATCCACTTTCAAACATTGTTGGACCAATGACTCGTGCTAGACGTAAGAGGATGAATGAATCACTTAATAGTCTAATTACTACTACATGGGCTAAGGAGGAAATTAAGCTTGAAGATTACAAGCCCAAGACTATTAATTTGCTTCAAGTAACACCAAATGGACATGGCCCATTTGGAGAGAAGAATTTCGGCCCTCAATCCACAAGGGGACCGCCGGCCACCTTTCCTCATGTTGGTCGAATTTTTCCCTAAAGTTTAGGGGTGAGATCATTCAAATTTTATCTCTTTGAAAGATAAGACTTTTATCTCTTTAAAGGATAATATTTGGGATGATTCTTTTTACTTGTTTTTCGAGTTTTCCTACAATAAGGAGTCAGCTTTTTGATGTCTACTCAACCGTTGGATGAAGACTACATCAAAATGGATGGCTAAGATCACTCTACAAAGAAGATGATGATAGAGTTTTAACTCAAGGGAGATTCTATCCATTGGAATCTTTCTAAGAGATTATCTCTTTGTATTTTGGAGTTTTAATTAATTCCTACAAGTCTTAAATGTTTTAAGACTAGTAAAAGTGTCTAGGTTCGTTATCTTATCACTTAAGATAACTACGAGTCTTTAGAGTTTGATTTCATTCAGATTCTTAGAGATAGGAATAGAGGTGAAGAGTTGTGTTCTTCCTCTACTTCTAGGATAGAAATTTCGCCACCCTCTATATAAAGGGACCGAAATCCTCTTGTCCAACACCTTTTGGTCATTTTGATAATTTTCCTGAGTGAAATTGGTTAGGATTTTATTCCTTTCGTGGAGTTCTTGTGAGGACTTCTTTGTTTGATTGTTGCATATGTGTTGTGACAATTGTTAGACTTATCTATCTTGTTTAGTTCACTTGATAGTGGCGTCTATAGCATTGGATCTTTTGAATCTTCGTATTTGGGCTCATAGATCTCATATCTATTGGGTTCTCTTACACAATTTTCAAAAGGGTCTCTGCTTGGTTAGAAATAGCTCTCTTCATTTTTGATTTGGGTTTTTCTACCATTGAACTCGTGAATTGATCCACGTGAGGTCAAATATCTTTTCTATTCTTTGTTTTTCGTGTGTTCTAGAGTCCTTAAATCCGAATTTCCAAATTCCGCTGCCTACAAATCTCTGACATTCCGAGCTAGCAAAGTTGATCTTTTCCTAAAGATTGGTTTTGTTACGGATTGCTATCAAAGACAGGGATCTATTTTTTGAAACAGAAATCTGATGCTTGTGATATGTTCAAAAGCTTTAAAAGTTATGTTGAGAAGCAAAGTGGTTATTTCATTAAGACGTTGAGAACAGATCGAGGTACTGAGTATACAATTTGTGATGATTTCTTAGTGAAGCATGGGATTAAGCATCAGATGACAGCAAGGTATACTCCTCAACAGAATGGTATTGCTGAAAGGAAGAATAGAACTATAATGGATATGGTGAGATATATGATAAAAGCAAAAAATATGCCCAAAGAATTTTGGGCTGAAGCAAATGCATGTGCAGTTTATGTTTTGAACAGATGTCCACCAAGAGAAATTCGAAGGAAGACTCCATATGAGATTTGGTCTGGAAGGAAACCCAGTGTTTCTCAACTAAGAGTCTTTGGTTGTGTAGATAAGCTCATGTGCCTGATACTATTAGGAAGAAACTGGATGATAAGGCTGAAAAGTGTATTTTTCAGGGATATAGCTTTCAGACTAAAGGCTATAACTTGTATAATCCAGAAACTGAGAAGTTTGTTGTTAGTAGAGACATCACTTTTGATGAGTATGCAGCTTGGGAATGGTTAGAAAAGGAGTTAGAGAGTCCACAACCACCACCGCCCTCATATGTAGATGAAGAAGATGAGCATAATCAACATGAAGAAACTAATCAATAGTCTGGTATGAGTCCTCTAGTGTCTCGAGAACGCCCATGAAGACAGACAACGTTACCAGCTCGATTATTAGATTTTGTTGTGGGAAGTGAAGTTGATGATTTTACTGATGAAGGTATGGTGAATTTTTCTTTATTTACAGATTATGATCCGGTTGACTTTACTGAATCTGTAAGAAATAAAAATTGGGTGAAAGCAATGGGTGAAGAAATATGTGCAATAGAGAAGAATAATACCTGGGATCTTGTTGATCTTCTTAGGGGGAAGAAATCCATTGGGGTGAAGTGGTTGTACAAGACAAAATATAAGTCCATTGGGGAGATTAATAGGTACAATGCAAGATTGGTGGTGAAGGGATATAAGCAGAAGCCTGGAATTGATTACTTTGAAGTATTTGCACCGCTTGCAAGACTGGATACAGTTCGTTTGATAATTTCTCTAGCTGCTCAGAATAATTGGAAAATTCACCAAATTGATGTTAAATCTGCTTTTCTGAATGGTGTACTTGAAGAAGAAGTTTATATAGAGCAACCTGCTGGTATGTCAAGAAAGGCATGAGGAATTGGTTTACAAACTAAAGAGAGCATTGTATGGTTTGAAATAAGCTCTTAGGGCATGGTATACACGCATTGGCACTTTTTTTTGTTAATAGTTGTTTTAAAAGGTGTCCGTATAAATACACTCTATATGTCAAGTCCTTAAAAAATGGAGACACAACTATTATGTGTATGTATGTTGATGATATGATTTTCACAGAAAATGATGAGCAGATGTTGTCAGAATTTAGGGAGGTTATGGTTAGACGGTTTGAGATGGCAGATTTGAGTCTTATGCCCTATTTTCTTGGAATTGAAGTTTTACAGCTTGACTGCGGCATCCTCATTTCTCAGAGGAAGTATGCTGGTGATGTTTTGAAAAAGTTTAAGATGGATGCAGCTAATGCCATTTTGACTCCTGAAGAAGAGAGGTTGAAGCTGACAAAAGATGAGTCTGGAAATTTTGTAGATCCAACCTACTTTAAGAGTTTGGTTTGGAAGTTTGAGATACTTGACCTCCACAAGACCGGATATCAATTACAGTGTTGGTTTGATTAGTAAGTTTATGGAAAATCCTCGTCAATCTCATTTATAAGCAGCAAAGAGAATTCTAAGATATATTAAAGGCACACAGGGAGATGGGTATCTTGTACTCGAACAACGAATCAGTTGAGTTGGTTGGTTACACTGACAGTGATTATGGTGGTGATACAGTTGAGAAGAAAAGTACTT